TTCACATCTTCATATTCCAACAAAGAGCAAAGTTCCTCCAGTTCTTCAACACTTCAAACACCTCATCTACATATCCTTTGTGACGAAGCAAGTTGGAGAAACCTCTGTTTTTACAAAGCACTCTTCTTATCAAAGAAGGACGTCCAAAGTAACTGGAGTAGTGAAGTGGGGATACTTCAAGGAAACTCACTGAAAGGACCACTCTTAAAGTAAGCAAGGAAGTGCATCCCAGGAGACATCTACACTTGAAGAAGACATGGAGAGCTTATTAAGTGCGAGGACTAAAGTTGTGTAATCTGCATTTTTACAAGCTTAGTGGAATAGTGGATTAGAGGAACACGTTGTTCCTTGAACCACTATAAAAATCCCTGGTGTCATTTACTTACTGCTTTTAATACTTGCTTTTACTTTCAATTAATTAACTCTAAAAGACTTGATCTCTGTGTTCAGCAGAACTCGTCTTGTGAGTTAACAGAATGCCTACTGCCTTTGCATCTCTTTGAGGCTAACCGGACAGAACCCCTACCAGAAGACCATCCGCTGCCAGTCTTTTCTTCAACAGAACAGGCCATTCTGTTAAGTCTGGTACTTAGCTTGAAAAAGTTAAAAACGAGTATAGTCTATTCACCCCCCTCTAGACTGTACCTTGTATAACCGGGACCAACATGTTGCGTCCATCACGAATGCCATTTTTCATTCCCAACTCAACTATTGGTATGGCTGCCACAATGCCTTGCCAAATTGGCGACTTAGAGAAAGAATGTCAAGGGTGGAAACCATCAACATCCTCTTGTTGATACTTGCTAAGAAGAACCTGAACCCAAAGCTCTTTAGGTTTCGTATGTAGCAGAAACCCTAACTTTACCATATACGTTCGGTTGAGTTCTCGCGCCATGTGCAAGCCTAGACCACCTTGGTTCCTGGCTTGACAATTCTTCTCCCATGAGAGTAAGTGGGTTTTCTGAACATTCGTCGTAGATCCCAAGACGAATTGCTTGATGCGCTTGTCAATCTCATTGCAAATATGACTAGGTAACACAGTAGTCTACATGATATAGGAAAGAATAGCTGAGAGAATGGATTGGGCCTGAGTAACTCTACCAGCCAATGCTAACGAAGAGGCTTTCCATCCTGCATGTTTGTGATCCATCCTGTCAAGAACGTCCTGGTAGGTGAAGTTGAAAATGCGTTCATGAAGAACTGGGACTCCCAAGAAACGACATGGATTTTAGGTTATAGGAATGCCAAGCTTGCCCTCCACCTCCCTAGACACATCTCGAGGTACCGTTTTGGAGATGAAGATGACAGATTTCTCATTACTGATTGTCCGACCAGACGCCCCGCAAAACCTATGTAAACCATCGAGTACCACTCCGGATTGCTCGAGGGAGGCTTCAGCAAATAAAACCAAACCATCAACAAAAAAACAAGTGGGATAAGCTCGGACCGTCCCGAGAAAGCCGGATTGGCTGGCTTCCACGCCCCTTCAACAACATCGTTCTCAATAATGTGGCACAACCGCTCAATACAAAGAGTAAAAAGAAAAGGGGGTAGAGGACATCCCTGGCGAATGCTACTATGGGGTAAATTGTTCTGTGAGTGCCCCATTCCATAACACCTCAAACTTGGCTGTCGACACACATGCCATGATCAAGGCAATGATTTCGGCAGGAAAATGCGCCAACGCCAAGGTCTCTGCCAGAAAGCCTCATTGGATCTTATCATAAGATTTTGTGAAATCAATCTTCAATACCATATGTCACACTCATCCCTTATGATGCTCCATAATTAAAATGCGCCAATTCTTGGAGGATAAGTATATTATCGGTAATATGTCTTCAGGGGATGAAACTAAACTGGTTTCTACTAATAAGAGAGGACCTCAGGACCTTAAGTCTAGTAGTAAGACACTTAGTAATTACCTTGTATCCCACATTGCACAGGCTAATAGGGCAGAAATGGGACATTGTGGAAGGATGCCTGGTCTTGGGAATTAGCATCGAGAGAGTATCATTGACCAAAGCAACATAAGCAGGGCACTGAAAGCACTAAAGCACAAACTTGACCACTTCTCCGACAACCTGGTCCCAACACTTTTGGTAGAATATGGGTTATAATCCGTCTTTGACATGAGCCTTGAGTCCACGCATATCAAAGATTGCCTGCCTAATTTCCCACAGCAGACGACAATTGACGAAGTCGGGCATGGTATTCCCGACTAAGCGGTGGAAAACCCTAAGTAGGGTATCAGTAGTGAGCATAGTATCCTGAAACAATTTCATACAGAAGCTCCTCACTAATTCTTGCAGCTCATAAGGATCATCGATCCAAACACCCAAACCATTCTTCAGAGACAATCTGGTTACCACAACGACATTTCAGGGTCATGAGATGGAAGTACCTGGTGTTGAGGTCCCCATCCAAGATCCAATTTGTCCTAGATTTATGAAGCCATAACACATTTTCCTGCCATATCACAGTTCCATCTCTCTGATGGTGTTTTGCTCTAACAATATCGAATTAGGAGGGAGTCCCTATAGTGGTGTTAATCATTTTGATTTGAGAGATTTACCCATAGAGACCGCTTACGGGTAAATATGTGTCCAAAAACTTCATGGTTCCATTTGCGTAGACGGTCATAGAGGTGGTGGCGCGCTTGCGGCAAGTTATTCTCATGCTTCCAGTTGGAGGAGAGCATGCACGGGAAGTCCTCATGGGAAAGCAAAGGTGCAAGGAAGCGGAATGGGCGACGACCAGGGGCATGTGGAGTTGAACCCGCCAAATCCAATAAAGTGGGCCGATGGTCAGAGCGAACACGTGGAAGGTGGCGGAGGACCGAGTTGAAAAAAGCTTGAATCCAAGTACGAGAGCACAAAGCCCGATCCAAGCATTCTAACACCCCCCCCCCCCCCCCCCCGAAACCATGTAAACGGAGGTCCAGAGAATCCCACGTCTACTAAGAAACAGTCATCGATGCATCGTCTAAATGAGACCGCACGAGTGTATGGGATCAAATTCTGCGCCACCCCGCTTCTCCTCGCCTGCAATGATAACATTAAAATCTCCAATCAAACTTCAGGGGAGTGTGGCATTGCTAACAAGACGTCGAAGATTATCCCAAAGCAGGTCTCGACTAGTGGCTTGGGGACGAGCATAGACAACAATCAACAAACAATCTAAAGCTTGCGGCCCTCCAATCTGTGCATGCACATGTTGAATGGACGTATCCAGAATCTGAACTGTTACCACTAAGGCCTTCCACAGAAGACAAATACCCCCAGCAAAACCCTGTGCTTCCTGGATGTACTTGTCGTCATAGCCAAGACGATCAACAATCTTCTACGCAGTCTCCCTAGTAACGCGGGGTTCAACAATGATAGCACTATCTGGCTTAAAATGAGACATATAGTTCTTAAAAGCGGGTAAAAACCCCACACGTTTTGCCCCATGACAATTCCAAGAAAAGATCTTAAACATTAAAAACTGGGGAAATGAGGGCTTCCCTGACTAGGAAGAGGTATCCATCTGTCCTTCAAGAGGACTAGGAGTCTGGATCTGTTCAGTCATTCCCGGTGTTGTGGCATCCGCTTTTATTTCTTGTATCAATCCAATTCACGTTTTTAATTTTGTGATGTGAGTGGAGTTTTCATTTAGGAGAAGGGGGTGTGTTTATGTACGGTAACTATTAGTCTGGATGGCAGGAACGCCAATTTAGTCACTATAGGCTTCAAATTTCCCGTTTTGAAGAAATTGTATGGAGCAAGACAGAGTACATGGAGTGCAAGTTTGGTGGAGGTAGAAGTAGTGGCAATAGCGGAATTACTCTAGATGGTAAGGAGACCAGTCAGCGATATGTTCCGTTACTTAGGCTCCATAATTCAGAAGGACGGTGAGTTAGATGAAGATGTATCTCATAGAATTAGAACAGGGTGGATGAAGTGGAAGAGTGCGTCAGGATTTCTATGCGATCGAGGTATGCCGACTAGACTGAAGGGTAAATTTTATAGGACAACAATTAGGCCTGCATTACTATATGGCGTAGAGTATTGGGCGGTGAAACAATGTCACATTCAAAAGATGAGTGTGGTAGAGATGCACATGCTGCGTTGGATGTGTGGGCATACTAGGAAGGACCGCGTGAGGAATGAGACAATCAGACAAATGGTCGGAGTAGCACCTATTGAAGACAAGATGCGGGAGTCGCACCTACGGTGGTTTGGTCATGTGCGTAGAAGACCGAGTGATGCACCTGTCAGACGAGTTGAGATGTGTGGAGAAGAGGCAGGGAAGAGAGGGAGAAGAAGACCCAAACAGACATGGGTTAGGGGAGTTCGAAGTGATATACTTCTTCTGGGGTTGGATGAGGGCATGACTTCGGAGAGAGCTAAGTGGAGGACGGGTATTCGTGTAGAGGAGTGATCTCGTATCATATTTTCCCCTCATCTTTTTTCCTTGTTTTTATCCTTATATATATAAGCATTATTTGTATCCTTTTTATTTTATCATTTTTATATATATTCATCTCTTTTTATATTATCTTTTTATCATAGCTTATCTTTTTTATCTTTATTTTCTTTCTTTTCCTTTTGGTGGTGATATCATGTATCGATTCATGTTAGCCGACCCCAATATCTTTTGGGACTAAGGCTTGGATGTTGTTGTTGAAGAAATTGTATGAGCTGACTGTTGCTTCATAACAAAGAAACGTAGACATTTTACTATTTTAGTGAGCCATTTTACTTTATTTCATCATATTCCCGAACAAAAAAATAGTGAATCTTTGACTCCATTGCAAAGGATAGAACTTCTAATATTATGATTAAACATGTAAATTATTTTATCAAGATCTCTACGTTATATAAAAATACTAACTTGTTTTATTCGAGTATTATCTAAAGCTGATGCATAAAATGTGTATATCACATAAGTTATGGTGCATTAAACCTGCAGGAAAAGTGTAGAAAGATGAATGGTCTTGGCAATTCTTAGGGAGATTGATGTTTAATAAATTTTTTAACAAGAAAAAACTTATATTAATATGAAATAAGTCAAACAAGCAGCAGTATCCTGAAAACCTTGACCTCCCTCTAAACCACAATGACCAAAAACAACGCCCCTCACTCCTAGATCAAATATAAAATAGTTCACCCCAAAAAGAGCGAGACTAATCGTTCAAAATGTGAGAGACTAGAGGCTATTAGCGTCTCAGTCAGCCTGATTGTCTCCCAACAGAAATCTATCAACTAAAACATAACAAAACATCAACATACTCCCCTTATTGTTTGACATAAAAATAACAAAATAGAAATAGTAAAACAATATGGACTGAAAATAGCAAAAATAGATAAAATTCAATTGATGGAGCAGCTGAATTCATACTTCAAACGTCGTTTTCCAAACCCTAATCACACAGTTCCTCCATGGAGGCGGTTCAGAAGGGGGAGGGATCATCATCACTTCATCTTCTTCCTCCGTCACCTGAATCCAGAGCTCTCCATGCCATATCAAACAAAGTCTTCCACTCAATCCCCGAATCTGGTTCGCCCGTTTAAGATCACCACCACAAGCTCTAAGTTTTTATGTTCCTGGATCTTCCGCCTTCCTCATGATTGGCCGAGTATCTCGCGGCCGCCTTCTTCTGCTCAACCGGAATCCTACCGCCGTGGAGATCCATCACCCCCGTTCGCCAAGCTGCCCTAGACGATGCTAGGTCTTTCGCCGATTCGCTAGAGAGACACGTACCCCTAAGCTGCGTGGAACACCCTACTATGCTGTTCGCTCGTCCCTACGTTGTTCATTCACCGCTGAAGACCTTGTTGCATGCCTTGCCGAGACTCGCTTTGCTGAAGCTGAATGGTCTCCTTCAATCTTCATGCTAGAGATGCTGCCGGACCCAAATCTACTTCGTAAGCTAGGGAAACCTAGCTACGACTTCTCCGGCTCTCCGACTCTTGTTTTTTAGATGTTTAATAGTTAATACTTGATGTGGAGATATAAATATTCAAAGTTCATACGAGGCGGAGATATTCATAGTTAATTATACGCTAAAAAGCCTAGGCAAAGATATAATTTTCAAAATTAATCGTTAAAAGCAATAAAGATAATATACAATGCAAAATCAACAAAGTTGAAAATCTTATTTTTGTGTGCATAATATATTGTGGTATCTTATTTTTGTGTTGATTTGTTTTTATGTATCAACTATCAAGTATGAACTACTCTCATATCTAGGGGTGGATTCGGGTCGCGCCGGGTCCGGGTCAGGCCTAGGCCCGACGGGCTTGGTTAATTATTTTTTTTGCTTACCTACCTATCCCTGACCCCCCTCACCCTCAAACCCCTCCTTAACATTAACTCATTAAGCCCAACTCGGGTGGAGTCCAAACGAATGAAAAAAAAAATCAATTTGGCCCAAACAGGGCCTTGTTTTGAGTGACCCGAGCCCGGACCGGAAACCCCTCGGGTCGGGCCTACCCAGGCCGGTTCCGGGTCAGGCCTACCCGGGCCAGTTCCGGGTCGGGCCACCCGGCCCGAGTCCCCCCTATTCATATCTGAAAGATTACATACAGTGGTAAGTGGTTTCATTCATTTTAAAAAAATGTTTAAAATGAACTAATTAATAAATGTGGAAATTTTAATTTTGTATTATTCTATATGATGAAGTCATGAAACGAAAAAATACATACTCCATGTCTCTAATCTAGCTTCTCGTTTTCTTTTACCGTCTTCAGTTAACACGTTTAGCAACTAATATATTTAAGTACCATTACAAAAAGTGGATATTGTTTAAACAATCAAAACAAGATCACACATGATAACATTATTTTTTTACACAAAAAAAATACGATCACAGTTCCTAAATATGACTCGTAAGTCGTAACAGTATAAGTAGGCTCACTAAACACAAAAATGCAAGATGAAAATTTAAAAAAGCTTTCTAAACACAATTATTTCTTAATTTAAACAATCATTAAATCAAAACTTTTTAGTGTTTTAAACACATGTAGACACAAACCTTAGGTTAATCTTAACCTAATGACATATTCGCACCTTTTTCTCTTAGAGTTCAAAGATAATTTCTACATGGTTATAGATCACATATGGGAGGGTAGGTATTCTTGTTGACAATTAAACTAGACAAAGCTGGTACTCGTGACAACAATCTTCAAAAGAAATAAAAGTGGCAAAAATGTGTTCTGGTTTCGGGCTTTCTCTGAAGTGTATAGTGTATACTAAAAAAGGAGTTTAACGCAATCAACAATTCATCAGCACAATAAGCTCAACTACTGCAGAATGCAGATGTGTTATGACTTATGACATCAGTTGAAGTGTTCTCCAATGAAACCTTTTGTGGAAATAATTGAATATAAGAACACACTTTCATTGACCAGTACGATATAAACAAATAAAGTTAGGATTCAACCTCCTGATGAGAACCAAAACTTTTTAAAAAGGGAAAAAATACCATTGAAGTTTTACATTTACATGCTGGTTACATGCTCTATCTTCATCGTAGTTCTGGTTTGTTTGTGAGGACCTGAAATGGAAGCTAAATTGCAGATTCTTCTGCACATACACAAATATATGTATATATATATGTGTGTGTGTATATACACACACATACATACATGTATCATAAAGATGGTCCAGTGATAGAAACCTCTACACCATTTCCACCAATGCCAGCAATTAGACACTCAAACCCACAGGTCTCTAGCTCCGCGATCACCTTATCAACAATTGTTCCTGATAGGACTGATCGTTGTCAAGGAAATATCTATATTATCCACTACAATTTTAATAAGTAGTACTGTTTTGAGTACTTCATATGCAAATAGTAGTTACATAAATGGGGTACGTGCAGGACTTCATTCAAGCATTATTTGAACAATATGATAAAATGATGAAAGTGCTATTCAAGGACTGAAGGGAGAGTTTCACATCCCTAATTCAAACTACTCAAATATTACTATAAATGAAAGCAGAAAGAACACTCACATTTCTACCCTTTATGAGGATGTGAATAGTAAAAGGAAAATCATACATATCACCAAAAAAAATTCAAGAAATGAATTCATACTAGATCTAGCATTCTGATAAAGATGCCTCATTTTAACTCTTCATAGTGTTCCATTATTTCCTATGGAGCCAAAGACTCGCTACTTTTTGGCTTGAAAATATGATGGAATAATACAAAATGACTCACTAAACTGTCTGCGCTTCTTTGTTATGAAGCAGCAGTCAGCCCATGCAATTTTCAACGCGATTTCCATCATGGGTCATACAAAACAGTCTTTCTCGGCTTTAGTACATGGGTAAAGTAGCATACATCCGACCCCCTCTTACTCCATCGTAGGTGGGAGCCTTTGCGGCACCGGGGTAATGTTGTTGTATAATGTTCAACGCTTCTTGCCCATAAACTACTACCTTTGTTCCACTAACATTGGGACATGAGAAGATAATGCGGTTATTAAGAAAAGTAAGATTGTGAGTTGCTATTGAATTGATAAAGTAAGAATAAAGTATGAATCGTTTATAATCACACAAACTTTACCAACATTGTTATGGACAGTCTTAGTGGGACTGACCGAAAAATAAAGATGAGACAATCTTGGCGGGACGTAGGGAGTAATAATTAGAGCAATTTTAGTTCATGGAAATCATGCTACAGTTTAAAGGTGGAAGCTTTCAACTCATGGTTGGAATTGTAAATGAAAGATCATGAATTAATGAGTGAAAACGAAAGGTATGTAAGATAATAAAAAAGGATACGAGTTGGTAGTAGTGTCAAAATGCAACCTCCTCCACCAGCTCCAGTTAACTTGGAAGGTAGTTTGTACTTTTCTGTTATTCGAAGCACAGTTTCTATTGAAGAATGACTAACACCCATGCACTGAAGCAGCCCTTGGTTCATCTCCATCAGTTCTCCCAGTTTTTCTTCCTTCTCAGTTATTGCAAGATCATCAGCAACGGGTGTCTGGACAATGGTAGCTAATTCATTACTAATGGAATCTACTGCATTAAAAACTGCAGCCATGGTACTTGGATGCCTCATTGTCCTCTCTGAGACACCAGCTACTAAAGTCTTCGTATTTCTGCCAACTTTTGTGTTGGTGATGAGCATTTTAATTGGCATGTTAGTCTTGAGGCAAGTCAAATCACCCGACTTAAATTTGATCAAGTTCCCTGCCACACAAAAATAAAATAAAAATTTGGGTTCCCAGGTAGTGCTAGAATGTATCGCACTTATGGTTATCCCGTGACTGCTAGTCATTTCCAGATCTGGTCCCCAACTTTCAGTATGATCATAAGATACCATTCTCAAAAAGCAATTTACAAACAGATAGAAAAAAAAGTATCATGAGAACAGCTAATTTATTTCTTGGACAGTTCAGTAGCATACCATATGTGCTTACAGTGTTATCGACCCCCGATGGCTTCCCGTGGATTATCTTTTCACCTTCAAATGCCCATTTGTTTACCAACTCCAGTTCATAGTCTTTAAATATTTGCCAGCCTTGGTGGCTGAAATCTAAGCTAATAGAGTCTGACAGAGAAAGCATGGCAGCAGAAAGTGCAACACAAAGGGCAGCAGATGATCCCAGACCTGCACCCATCGGGGATTCAGAATGCACAACTGCTTTTGCCGGCTTGCATCTGATCATTATTGCCAAATACAGAAGAAGAAAATTCATTAGATATTACAAAATGATTAAAGCTAACAATTAATAGATCGATTTTACACAGAGAGTTATTACAGATTTAGACATTCAACTACATAACTCAATTTTGGTATTTGAGTATGAAATTGGACCCAATCAAGTCCTTAATTCCTTATACATATCAGGTTCTAGAAGAGAAGGGTATATTTGTTGGTCAACTAAATTAGACCCAATGCAGACATAATTTGCCCCCCGATTATGTAATTTGGACCCAACTTATTACAAAGCGTACAAAATTACTTTTCTCAGTTAGAGGAAAGTATGCATGAAGACAAAATTAAGTGTAAAACTGTAAATTGCATGATCGTGAAAAAATTAAGTCCAAACAAAGCCAAAGAACAAGTTCAGTAATTATGTATAGTTGAAGGATCAAATTGCGTATTCATTCTTTGTAGAAAAAATATAGCAAATTTACACACCCATGAATGGAGGTGTACAGCCACAGAAAAGCCGAGACACCAGAAACAAGCCCAATCTTCTCCTCAGGAATTTTCTGTTCTTCTACCAATGAAGCAATCGATTTAAGCGTTTCCAATGAGCACGATGAGGGAGACGAAGCAACACTGCTATCAAGGTTAGGAAAAGCATCTCTAATTCTTACAACTGGCCAAGAAAATTCCAAGGACACATCATTTAGTTGGAGCGTCAGTGATTCCTCATTATCTGGTCCCAAAGCATTCAATGAAACAAGTCATAAACAAAATCAGGCAGTCATGCTATACACTATCAACTGTTGTGAACAACAAAGCATAACAATAGCACCTGACTGCAATTATATAACCTTCAATTTATGACAGTCATTTTAATCTTCTGATGACAAGAAATAGACAATAGATAATGGCTATTATTTCCCTTAAAAGTACCATTTTCCAACGATCAAAATTGTGTATGGTTTAGTTGAGGCAGATGTTGGAAAATTCCGAACACACTAAAAAGTTTGAAGCTATGCATACATGAGACATGTAAATATATTTCAGTAATGACCACTTACTAGTGGGGTTAGACAAGCTAAGGGTGACGTAGGTATAAAGATCGATGGCGGCTGCAACAGCAGTGGATCCGTGCACCACCGCATGTTCTCCAGCAAGTATGATTTTCGCCGGTGCTCTTGCCCTCACCTCCATCCTCTCTGTTTCTTGTGCACAATTTGGAGAGCAACACTAAATCCCTCTAAAACTTGGAGAGCAACTCTATATCCTCTCTCTCAAGTGTGCACAATTTTGGAATCCTGTAAAACACGAGTGTCATTTACGT